AAAGGGTCCAAAATTAAACTTTGTTTGATTTCATCAAAAATTGAATTCTTGGGGTTCTTTGATATGCTGAATCTAACCATGTATTTAGATTTTGGATATTGGACCATAATAGGTGAATGTCCAATTTAAAATTTTAAAGTTCTTAGACCACATTCATTCTGTGTCAGAAACCTATGCTGTGTCAAATATTTAATCACAATCCAAATGCAAAGCTGTATCAAGCTTGAATGTTGTGTCCATACTTTCCCCAACTGTTCAGGGTTCGACATCTACGGTCGTATCAAGCTGCATTTTATTTGTTATTATTTTGAATATTATTATAGATATATATAAACTGTAAGCAGCAATAATGTTCAGCAAAGTAAGATCTACAAAAAAGTTAATATTACCATAATTATCAATTGACCCCTTAAGGAGTTATTGCCCTTTAAAGACAATTTTACACAATTTGTTCAACAAGTTTGCTAACATTTAAAAATCTTCTCCTCTGAAATACAGGTGAGCGATTTAGGCTCTTGAGAGCCTCTTGTTTTTTTTTACAGAGATTATCAATATCCCTATAAGCCCAAGGGTTTGTATATTTTGACTTCATTATTTTGCTTGGTACATTATCATCTATTATTTTGTTACTACCTTCAAAAATTTATTCAACAATTGATCAATAGTTGAATTTACATTAATGTGTTGTAAGAGTTCAGAAATAGATTAAGATGTTACAGCTTTTTGTTGAGTCTGTGACTTTTGTCGCAAAAGCAAGACATAGCGATCCTACATTCCGCCGTCGGTGGCGGCAGCGTCCACAAATATTCACTCTGTGGTTAAAGTTTTTGAAATTTTAATAACTTTCTTAAACTATCCTGGATTTCTACCAAACTTGGACAGAAGCTTGTTTATGATCATAAAATAGTATCCAAAAGGAAATTTTGTAAAAAAAAATCCTGTTTATCTGTATTTTACTTATAAATGGACTTAGTTTTTCTGCCAATTAACATTACATTCACTCTATGGTTAAAGTTTTTAAAATTTTAATAACTTTCTTAAACTATCCTGGATTTCTACCAAACTTGGACAGAAGCTTGTTTATGATCAAAAGCTAGTATCTAGAAGGAAATTTGTAAAAATTTATTTCCTGTTTTTCCGTATATTACTTATAAATGGACTTAGTTTTCTTCCAGTTAACATTACATACAGTCTGCAGTTTAAGTTTTAAAAACATTTATTAGATTCATAAACCATCCTGGATTTTTACAAAACTTGGATAGAAGCTGCTTACAATCAAAAGATACTATCTAGAGGAAAATTTTTAATAATTTTTTCCCCATTTTTGTTGAGCCTGCGACTAACAGCAAAAGTAGGTGAGACACTGGTTTTTGTGGAACCCTTAAGAATTTTATTTTTTGTAGATCAACCTTTTCCCATCAATAAAGTGTATATTGTGATTGTTTAGATCTTTGGGGCTTGGCAAGTTGCAGATTGCATCTAACAATACACTAAATATTATGATCTGATAATATACATTGAATGGATTTTATTTTAGTTATTAGTGCAGGTTGGTGTGTGCAATAAAGGTCAAGGATGTTATCTTTCCTAGTTGGAAAATCAACCATCTGATCTATGCTTAAGTTATTCAGCATATTTTTAAATAATTCATTTAGCTCCTTAGTATAACATTGAGCAAGATATAATTTGTTCAGGTCAGTTTATGTCGGGAAGTAAAAGTTTGACCGGGTCGGAAAGGAAGGTGATGATGTACTCATTTCCATTAAAAATTCGTAAGGGTTCCGCGGAACCCAGTGTCTCGCCTACTTTTTCTGTTAATCGCAGGCTCAACAAATATGAGGAAGTAAATCAATAAAAATATTCCTCTTGATACTATCTTTTGATTGTAAGAAGCTTCTGTCCAAGTTTGGTAAAAATCCAGGATAGTTTATGAATCTAATAAATGTTTAAAAACTTTAACTGCGGACTGAATGTAATGTTAACTGGAAGAAAACAAAATTTCCTTCTAGATGCTAGCATTTGATCATAAACAAGCTTCTGTCCAAGTTTGGTACAAATCCAAAATAACATAAGAAAGTTATTAAAATTTTAAAAACTTTAACCACAGAGTGAATGTGTTGTTTCCTGGCAGAAAATCTAAGTCCATTTAAAAGTAAAATATGGAAAAAAATGGATTTATTTTTTAACAAAATTTCCTTCTAGATACTAGCTTTTGATCATAAACAAGCTTCTGTCCAAGTTTGGTACAAATCCAAAATAGTATAAGAAAGTTATTAAAATTTTAAAAACTTTAACCACAGAGTGAATGTGTTGTTTCCTGGCAGAAAATCTAAGTCCATTTAAAAGTAAAATAAGGAAAAAATGGATTTATTTTTTTTTACAAAATTTACTTCTTGATACTATCTTATGATCATAAACAAGCTTCTGTCCAAGTTTGGTACAAACCCAGGATAGTTTAAGAAAGTTATTAAAATTTTAAAAACTTTAACCACAGAGTGAATGTAATATTTCCCGGCAGAAAAACTAAGTCCATTTATAAGTAAAATACGGAAAAAATGGAATTTTATTTTTACAAAATTTACTTCTGGATACTATCTTATGATCATAAACAAGCTTCTGTCCAAGTTTGGTAGAAATCCAGGATAGTTTAAGAAAGTTATTAAAATTTCAAAAACTTTAACCACAGAGTGAATATTTGTGGACGCCGCCGCCGACGACGACGACGACGACGGATCGCTATGTCTCGCTTTTTCGACTTAAGTCGAAGGCTCGACAAAAAGGTTATCATTTGCCAAGAAGTGCATAAAGAAAAATGTAAAACTTATTGCTGCCCAAATTAATATAACATACTTAATCCTTAATTATTGTTTCGGCATTTAGACCACCCAATAAAACTGATATTCACTATCTTACCTAAACAGATGATCTTTGCTAGGGGCTAGGATGAAATTTGAAAAAAAGGCAAGACAGGAGTTTTTAGTAAAAAAAAAGGCAGGATGAGCAACTTTGAAAAAAAAAAAGGCAGGATGACAATTTATGTAAAAAAAAAGTCAGGATAAACTAATAAAAAAAAAGGCAGGACCGAATAGAGAAAAATAAAAAGGCAGGACAGAGATTACAACTAAAAAAAAGGTAGGACACAATTTTTCAACCTAGCCCCCCCCCCCCCCTATAAAAATCAAATGATAGCTAAGGCTCCGGCCTCCCAAAAAGAAAGTAGACAGCTTTGCTACTAAATCAGTTACTAAATCTATACACACTGACATATAGTTCCCAATTGTTCTCATGTCTGTGTACATATGCAGAAATGAACTAAAAATGTGGTTACATCTTAATCAAAAGCATATTTTCAAGAATAATCATGATAATAGTCTTTACTTTTTTCAATTTACTGGCTAGTTTTGTCTTTTTGATTGAGTAAGAGCATTGATACAATATCAGTATGATTGACAGCTGTCATGATCAAGGAACAATTAAACACAACGGATGTGGCAATAATTGGAATTGTATATAGACCCCTCCTCTTTAATGCCAATCATTATTGACCGAATTACATAACTGTTGAGTTAATACATAACATGACAGACCACTCAATACACAATAACTTGACTCATTAGTATTAGATAGATGTTTGATCTATATAGGTCAGCGTCATTAGGCGGTCTTCATGTGTAATTGATACACTTGTACATATGGTTAACATGAATATTAAATGTGCATTTCTTTAAAAATAATTGAATACAGATGATAGATTTTAATCATTTACCTATATATGTCATATATAACTTTTAATTTACACTGCGTTAAACAAAAAAAAAGATAAATGTAAATTTTGGGAGATAAAAAAGGGACTTAGTTCCAAGTCTCTTTATCCATTGGTCCCAGGTTTACTGAGATACTTAAATAGTTTTTTATTAGGTCATTTCTTCTGTTTAAAAAAAAATATAAATATAAGTTGCAATTTAAAAGAAGTTAATTATGCAAATTAGTGACCAACCTACATTGACCTCTATTAATCTATTTTATGCACCGAAAATTTGATTATCTTTCTAAAAAATCTGCAGCAATGTAACTAACAAATATGCAATAGTACTATAGCAAGTTTTTCTTGTCCACCACCACTGCTATGGAAGAGCAAAATATGATTGAAATTATACACACAATTCTTCCAATCTTTCCATCAGTGATTTCAGATCACTTTGATTATGTATATTGTTGTTGTCTTTTGATCTTTTTCGTATATTGTCATGGCGTTGTCAGTTTATTTTCGACTGTCCCTTTATTGTCTTTCGCTTCTCTCTTATGCACCGAGGGTATCACCAGCCCAGTAGTCAGCACTTCTGTGTTGACATGAATTATTATTGATATGGTCATAATTATAAATTAACTGTTTATAAAATTTTGAATTTTTCGAAATACTAAGGATTTTCTACCTCAGGAATAGATTACCAAAACTTTCGGAATTTTGGGCCCTCAATGCTCTTCAACTTCGTACTTAACATATATGTCTCTGGTATAATAGTCCCAGATTCAGCCTGGGACTATTACATTTAGCCTGGCATCCTGACCCAATCTAATACTTCATCTACTGTCGAGCAGTGAGCCAGGATCCCAGGCTATATTTCAGTATACCGACATACATGTGATTATACCAGAGACATATATACACATGTATGTCGGTATAATGAAATATAGCCTGGGATCCTGGCTCACTGCTCGACAGTAGTCTATCGACGAAGTATTAGATTAGGTCAGGATGCCAGGCTAAATGTAATAGTCCCAGGCTGAATTAACTTTTTTTAAATGTTTAAACAAGGATTTTACTATAACGTTTTACCTCGGTGTTTCGGAATAACATTAAAACAATATTTGTTAATTCAAGTTAATACATGAATCAATCAAGGAATTTAATAGTAATGCGTTAAAATTTTTACATTGGCTTGTTAACACATTTCCGAATACGAAAACTTTATCTCCTCCGTACTCGGTTCCAATATTAGTTGGGAAAACATCATAGATATATTTAGAAACATGTAAACAACAGTACATTTTTTTAGTTTCCGTTGATCAATATCAACACCATTGGCTAGGCGGATAGAACTTTTTGGCGAAGGAAGCCGGTGTCACCGAAGAGAACCACTTACATTCGGTAATGTAACCAATTACATTTAATTCTACACTTTTCCCTAAATACATGTAGGAGGTTTTTGGGTTCATTCAACAATTTTAACATAAGGGTGAACATATCCAGATTTAAATTGTAGGCATTGTAACCAAAGGCTGTAGGAACTTACGAGAAATTTTTAGGGCACATAATTCAGTGTTTTATAGTCTATAGTTCCTTTGCTTTTTTGTGTTTTTTGTTGTGCATGTACTGATTTTGTGTCATGGATGGATACCCATATATGCTTTGTGTTTCTATTATAGACTAAACTCGGTTTTGTAAGTCACTCACAGGTTCTTACCAAAGCTTGTAGGGTTATATCCAATATAAGAGATAATAGGTAAGTTAACCCCCCAGGCCCTAACTTTTTCACCTAGTGGTGGGAATATTTTTGAAATTAACAAAATATTATATATTTTCACAAATTTTATTGGGCATGTGTTAGGTGTGCCCCAGGCCTGAATCCATTCTGATTTGGACTACATTTAGTGTTTTAGTTGGTAAAATTTATGACTTCTGTGATGATGGTTACAATAACTTCTCAGACCTCTCTTGATCTATCGTGGAATATTTGTCACTAGACATAAAGCAAGAGACAACCAGTCAATGATTGAGAAATCGAGACATTGTACTTCAGAAGAATGATCTATAACACTGTAAGTGTTGATAACTTCTACAAACTTGTCTGGTCTCTGAGAAAGTAATATTAGTAACAAATGTAACTTAATTACATTGTATATGAACAAACCAATATAAAAACAAGGAGATATGGTATAATTGCCAATAAAACAACTATTCACCAAAGGACATGAATGTAAGCAAATATAGTTCACAAAAGGACATAAAGCAATGAGCAATAACCATACACTATGGTAAGCTTTAAAAGGCCCCAACATGACAAAATGTGAAACATGTCAAATGCAAAAGTAAGTCTCAGAATTGAGAGATGTTGTTATGAAAGAATTGTTAATTGGCAAGGAAAATTTGTATTACCTCGTCAAGATAGAATATGGAAGTTTTGCTCACTCAGCATGGTTGAAGATTGAGCTCATTTTTTATTTACATACCCCTATATATAATAATATTAGAGAATCATATCTTACATGTCTTAATAACATTTTTAATAAGTTTCGTAACTTGAGAAAATTGCATGATTTAAAAGATGATCTTTTATTCTGGATAATGTCAAATAATGACATGCAATTTATATCAGATTTCAGTGATTATCTTTAATCTTTATTTGAAACAAGGAGGGTAAAATATCTGAGAACAAATATTCTATCTTGACAAAAATTAAAAAGAAAAAAATTATGTCATAAACAATAATTTTATGAATATTTGATGTGGACCAGGAGTTATCCTCCTTTGTATACTGTATAGACTGATTATCCCCCTTTTATTATTGAACAATTATTGTTTGTTATATGTATTAATAATCATAATTATATTGTATTGTCTGTATCTGTAACTTGATTGATATGCTTGTAATGAGCCCTATGATTAAGAAAATAAAATATAAGTAGTAAAAACCAACAGCCTGATTTAAGCTTACATGTAAACAATAGATGAAAAAAAAATATGGCAGACAGCATCCAATGACACCCACTGAATTACGGGTTCCCGACTTGGGAATCCAGCACATAAAAAATGTGGCTGGATTAAAAAATTTTGTGAGCACTCAACCTTCCCACTTACTTTGGACAGTGGTGTAACAGTGCAACATAAAAAACAACTTTATTTGAACTTTGGTCCACCAATCTCCTTATTTTTAAACTGTAGAAATCATTTGGAAAGGGGTCAGATTGACACTAAGCACAAAAAAAAAAAAAAAACAGCTAACAAAAAGACACAAAGTACCAATCTTCAGTTACTGAAAGCTAGATCAAAGCTAATTACAACTAATAAATAAACATGTTTTTCAAGGCTTGAATATCAATCAGAACACATCCAAAGGATTGAGTTTAAAGACGACATAAACAGTCTGAGAAAAGCATAACCTGTGCAATGCCAAAATATAAGTATTTACAGGATGTAGGACCATACAATGTTCATTCTGTACAGCAAAACATAAAGTTATGTTTTATCATACCCCAAGGGACAAAGTTCCATCGGCTATAATGTTTTTGACCTGTCCGTCCGTCCGTCATTCCTGTTCTTGTCATCGCAACTCCTTTGTAACCACACAACAGAATATCAAGAAACTTTGTAGATAATAAGGACATACTATGTAGATGTGCAGATTGACAGGGAATTATGATTCAATTTTTTTTCTGGGAGTTATGCCCCTTTGAACTTAAGAATTTTGGCCTAAATATACTACTGCAACAGTTTGTCATTGCAACTCCTCTGAGACCACACAACGGAATTTCATGTAACTTGGTAGATATATATAATTAGAACATAATATGTAGATGTGCATACCCACAAGAATTTTTTATCAGTTGACTTTGGTAGGAGTTATGAGTTCTTTTATTAGAAAACTTACATGGATGCTTAAAAACTAAAGACATTTGCAGAAAACCATATATTTATCTATAGATGTTTTTATTTTTCATTGTGCTGTTTGGTTGATGTCTCATTCACAAATACCTCACATCATTAGATTCACAAACTGTAATATATATTTACTACATAACTTCAGAAATTCGTTGCGAAAATTACAACAAGATAGGTTTGGCAAAAATAAAAACTTGCATGTAAAAATTAATAGCATTACAGGTATTACAATGAAATATTTCCTTAAATAATTATAATTAATGTCACAATTTCAAATGCACACAAAAATTTCTGAATTTACAGTACTGGTACATCTTTCAAAATACTCTTCTTGTCACACTTTGTTTTGTGTAGTACATTTCCATTTTCGTTTTTAGAATAACAATCAACATGGGTGCAGTTAAAAGCAGATTGTTACAGCTGATAGACAGAGGAGAAATGGGAACATATAGGTCAAGGCACCATCTTATATCTGATGCAGCATCACTATCAACATGCCAACACCCACTAGAAGTAATCAAGTTGACTATCACAAAAACTGAACTCACTACTGTTCCTGATACCATTGGCCGTTTTGTAAATGTTACGAAACTTGATCTTTCAAATAATTTGATAGAATTTATACCATGGTCAATTGTTTGTTTGAAACAGTTAGAAGCACTGAATCTATCACAAAACAAGTTAAAACAACTTCCGGCTACAATGTTTCGTTTGCAGGGCTTGTTTCCAAGGCTGATGATCATCGATTTGAGTTATAACTTGTTTGAACGACTACCTACAGAACTACTCGTGTTTGAGACAAAATTGAAAACACTGAAAATACTGAACGTTGAAGGAAATGTTGGTTTAGTTTCACCACCTTTAGAATTGTGTCTGCAAGGAATTGAAACTATATATGCCTTACTCCGAAAACGTCAAAATAGGACGAATGAATGGGCAAGATGGAAACCATATTATAAAGACAATTTTACATGTTTGAAACCATTGATTGAAATATGCATTGAAACCATTATTGATTCAAAGATTGATTATTTGTCTGCTACCAGTGTGCCACCAATCATTAAAAAATTCTTAACTTCAGCAGAAAAATACCAAGAGATGTTGGGACCCAATGTAATGAAATGTAGTGCATGCAAAAGATATTTCACCGAAGAGTCAGTTTTTGACAATCATGTGTGTTTTCAAGAGAAAAGAATACAACCAAGTAGATAATATTAAAATTCAAAATATAGATATTGTATGGAAACTCTTGTCCTGAAAGTTTAAAATAAAGGCTGTCAATACTTAGTTTTTTAAGGCAGATATATGTAATACTGTGTACCTCTCCTATTGATGTTTTTCAGAGTAATTATTTGAATGAACTCACAACATGGAATGTGCATTCGACTCCAATCTTAATTGACTGGGATTGCCAGTTTTTTGTCATAGGTTGATGGTTCTTTCAGGGCACTCTGGCTGCCTTCACCACTAAAAACTGACTGCTAAGATATAACCAATAGTGCTGAAAACACCAACAAAAAGTCAGTCATCAGTCTATTTGTTTTTCGGACTATATAACTTCAGAATTCTACCTAATACAAATATTCCATAAAAATATCTATATTTTAAAATGTGTCTAGTAAAGCTTTGACTATTATGTTTTTTATGCCCCAGCCGAAGCGGAGGGTGCATTAAGTTTTACCCTTGTCCGTCTGTACGTCCATCCGTACGTACAGCCCAAAGTTGGTTTCCGTTCTCTAACTTTAGTTTGTCTCTACCAAATATTATGAAACTTATACACAATGCTTATAAACACAAAACACAGATCAAGATTGAATTTTGGTGGCGTCACTTTAACCGTTCAAGAGTTATATTCCTTTATAAATGGAAAAAAATGCTGAATTATTCGTTTCTGTTCTCGTACTTAAGTTTACCTAACCAAATGTTATGAAACTTATACACAATGCTTATTACCACAAAATACAGATCAAGTTTGATTTTTGGTGGCGTCACTTTTACTGTTCTAGAGTTATGCCCCTTTACAAATGGAAAAATTGCAAAATTTTTCGTTTCCATTCTCTAACTTTAGTTTGCCTCAACCAAATGTTATGAAACTTATACACAATACTTATTACCACAAAACTCAGATCAAGTACAAATTTGGGAAGCGTCACTTTTACTGTTCTTCAGTAATGTATTAAAACTGTATGATATGCAAGCGGGGGCATCATCTGTGTCCCATGGACACATTCCCCATTTATTTTTTAATAATATGTCATTTATATTTAAGGGCTCAAAAGCTTTTGTGTTTTGTTCTATATGAATAAAAAGAGATGTTGGGTATACATCAATGTGACAGCAAACCTTATGTTAGGTCCACTTAGCATTAAAGATTAAAAACAAAGTAAGACCCAGATGTTTACTGATATTTGATAAAAAATTTCCATTCATGTCCAGTGCACAATGTTTAATCAATATTGTCGACATCGCGATATTTACAATGTTAATTCATATCGTGTCAACATCGTTTACATTGTCTGAACTCTTACATATTATTTTCATCGTTGACATTGTGAACATCGCGATGTTTACAAATTTGTAAAGATATCGTGTTCACATAATAATAATAATAATAATAATAATAATAATAATAATAAATTCTTTATTTAAAGAGGGTAACTCAATTAGAAGTAGTCTAATTTTCATTGAGGCCCTCAAACAAAATACATGTATACAGTTAACATTCATACATTCGATTCATACATTAAAATACAATATATATTACTAGTATATACACAATTCAATCATTCAAACATACAAATGGCAATAAATGGCAATAATTGGTAAAGTTTTGATTAAATTTTCTTATTCTTACAATAAAAGAAAGAAAACAAATTATTCGACTTGCATAGAATTTTCAAGAAAATGATTATAACAATGTTTCTTAAATAATTCCACATTTCGACATTTTTTTATTTTGAGTGGTAAATTATTCCATACCTTTGTTGCAGAATAATGAAAAGATTTTTTATAAAAATTTGTATTTGGTCTTGGAACAAATAGATTATTATTAGAGACAGATCGTAAGTTGTGGTGTTGCACATCATTAATATTTAGCATTGTTAAGTAATCAGGTGTTAGTCCATTTACAATTTTATACATTAGAATTGATTGTTGGTATTTTATTCTTTTTGTAAAAGATAGCCATTTTAAAGATGAAAACATAAAATTAGATGGAACAGAAATATCGCATTCAAGTATAATTCTTGCTACTCTTTTTTGAAGTTTTATGATTCTATCTGAATCTTTTTGTAATAAATTTCCCCAAACTGAACTACAATAGTCTATATATGGTAGAATATATGCATTATATAATAGTTGTCTTGTGTGTATAGGCAAATATACTTTAATTTTAAACAAAAGTGATATTTTAGATGAGATAATCTTGCATATACGATCAACATGATCCTTCCAGCTTAAATTTTCATCAATGTCAATTCCAAGTAATTTGAAAGAATGGACATTTTCAATACTTGTTTCATTGACGGTAATACATAATTCTGATAGTTGTGTTAGTTTTTGTTTTGAACCCAATTTCATACACTTTGTTTTTTGTGCATTAATTTTCATACTGTTATTGCTACACCAAGATTGTATAGCATTTGAATCATTTTGCAATATGCTGTTTATTTTTTCAATGTTTTTATTATGAAAATGCAATGTTGAATCATCAGCATATAAATCCATGTCGGATTGTTTAACATGAAGTGGTAAATCATTTATATAAATTAAAAATAACAGCGGACCTAAAATAGAACCTTGAGGCACTCCATATTTTACAAACGATTTATCAGATTTAATGTTAGCGTATTGAACTTCTTGTTGTCTCTCAGACAAATATGATTTTATCCAATCTATCGAATGTTCTCCGATATGATAAAATTTTAACTTTTCTAAAAGTATGGCATGGTTAATAAGGTCAAAAGCCTTACTGAAATCTAAAAACACAGTACCAACTATTTCTCCATTGTCTAAATATTTTAACCATTCATCAATTAGTTTAGTCAGCGCTGTTTGACATGAATGACCTTCCCTGAAACCTGACTGAGCGATATGTAACATTTTTTTATTATTTAAGAATGCATATAACTGTGTACATACATGTCTCTCAAAAACTTTAGATATGGTATTTAAAATAGAAATTGGACGATAATTGGAGGGAATATCTGTTGGTCCTCCTTTATGTATAGCAGTTACTCTTGCAAGTTTTAATTTTTGTGGAAAACGATTCGACGTTATACTTTTGTTTATTAGAAAAGTTAGTGATGGCGATATTATCCCTGCACTTAGCTTTAAAAGTTTTGGACCAATTCCATCTAAACCTGCGTTTACATCGCTACATTTACAATGTTTACACGATATTGTGTCAACATCGTGTACATTGTTTGAACTCTTATACATTGTTTACATCGTTGACATCGTTCATATCGCGATGTAAACAATGTAAACACGATATCGTGTCGACATCGTTTACATTTTCTGAACTCTAACATACTGTTTACATCGTTGACATCGTGATGTATACAATGTTGTAAAGATATCGTGTTTACATCGCAATTTATACAGTGTTAACACGATATCGTGTCAACATCGTTTACATTGTATGAAGTCTTACATATTGGTTTACATCGTTGACATCGTTAACATCGTTAACATCGCGATGTATACAATGTTGTACAGTTATAGTAGGAACATCGTTTACATCGTCATATTAACCATGTTAACACTATATTGTGTCAACATCTTTTAAATTGAAACAACTGTTGTATACTGTTTGTGTCGTTTACATTGTTATTGGGAAAAAAATGGCTAAAGATCATTTCTATTTTATGAATACGAGTATTTTTTCTTTTTTCATATGCACAAAAACTTTTAAAGATAAGTTTCAAATGAACCGATTTAAATTTATAAGTAAAGTATTATTAATTAAAATTATATAATAAATCATTATTGTAGGTATGGTCATTAACATTAGCTAGAGGACTAAAACTTTGATTTTTTTTCTATTTCTTACAAGACGATCCATATTAAACATGTCAGAAAGCTTTAACATAAACAGATTGTATTTTCCGTGTGACACATGTTTTGTTTCATATTAATATTTCGCAATGAATTGAAATGTCTGTTCACATGCTTCTGTGTTGATATTCTTGATTTGCCAGTGGCGGATCCAGAACTTTTCATAAGGGGGGCCCGCTGCCCCCCAGGCCCCCCCTGGATCCGCCTATGTTTGCTCATCTTTGTAGGAATTGACATTACGTCGACAACATTATTATTCTCAATGCCGCTAGAGTTTTTTAAACGCTGATTATTAAGCAATATAAACGCTATGCTGAAAACTATATAGTTAAGAGCATTGCAATGTTGCCTAAGCGAGTGATGTAAACACATAAGAAATATAGGGAAAGAATATAAACAGGATATGACAATATAAATTAAAGACTATACTAATAACAATAAAAGCAACTTTTTTTATTAAATGTTATTGATATTGACACTATATTGTTAACATTGCTATGTATAATATGTGAACGATGTAAACACAAAGGTATAGACTTGTAAAACAACATTAATACGATGTGAACAATGTTAACACGATATGGTCAACATTGCGATGTATACGATGTGAATGATGTAAACACATAAGTTTAGACTCGATATACAATATCAACACGATGTTGACATGAAATTGTCAACATCACGATGTATACGATGTGAACGATGTAAACAGAAAAGGTGTAGACTCTTTACAATATAAACACGATGTTGACACGATATTGTCATCATCTCGATGCAAACGATGTGAACGATGTAAGCACAAAGGTATAGACTTGGTAAACAACATTAATACGATGTGAACGATGTAAACACGATATTGTCAACATTGCGATGTATACGATGTGAACGATGTAAACACATAATTTTAGACTTGATATACAATATCAACACGATGTTGACATGATATTGTCAACATCACGATGTATATGATGTGAACGATGTAAACACAAAGTTATAAACTTGTTACATAACGTTAATACGAGGTTAACGATGTAAACACGATATTGTCAACATCACGAAGGATACGATGTGAACGATGTAAACAGAAAAGGTGTAGACTCTTTACAATATAAACACGATGTTGACACGATATTGTCATCATCACGATGTATACAATGTGAACGATGTTAGCACAAAGGTATAGACTTGGTACACAAGATTTATACGATGTAGACGATGTGAACGATGTA